AATACATCAAATTTAATGGAATCACTTTCAATATTAGTGGCATTACAGAAGAAATATATTTGATAAAATATATAAAGTGTGGTTTTCACAAATGCTTACTTATTTATCTTTTTGTAAATTATATTTTGTATTTTACATGTTATTATATGGATTACCCTCATAAGTTACAGTCATTAAAATTACTCAAAATCACTTGTTGTCTRCATGTTGGAATCAATTATATTATTAATATGCACAGGGTGAGCTGTCTTTTATGCTCACTATTCTTTATGTTATTCCACATTGTGCACAACTTAAAAGGAATTACAAAGTAACTTTTCATTTATTATAAAAAGAAAAATACTTTTCTTCATTACATTGACATTGAAATGATTAAAAATGGGTAGGAATAAAAAACCACTTCCAGAGATCATTGAAATATCAAAATGCAGTACACAGTCAAACACACACTTGCACAAATATCTCTGCCCATTATCATCCACTGTTGATTTTCATGTTCAAGGGAAGGCCAAAGACACAATTGCTTTAAAATTATACAAGTAGGTGTTTTTCATTCAACCTCAAATTTCCTGCCCACATGACCCCAAACTTGAACTAGAGGTTATTGGAGCATTCTTTAGAAATTTACAAAAGATTTAGAAAATAATGAATCATTATGCCTGAGAAGAACATTTTATAAAAATAACCCTCTATTGACTTTATTTGAAATTTAAATTATTTCCAGTTCTTTCATGTGTATGAACCTTTAATGAGTTGCTATGGAGTCTAGAAAACAGATGATGGGTGATGTACCTGATAAAAGCAAGAGAGATGATATTGACCTCTTTTAAAATAGTATATCCATGATTTGTGCATAAGTGGGCATGTTTGTGTCTATATAATTTACCTAATATACTTAAAGAGTTCAGGAATTCACACTAAATTTGGCCAGACAATTCAAMAAATCTCTCTGTTAATCTGCTTTTGAAAGATTTCAAATAGTGGCTCAAGAGTCAAACCTGTCATGATAGTAAAATGAAGTCACTCACTGATAGGCTAGAGAAAAAGTTTTAGGTAGGGTATAAAGTTGAAAGTTTAATTGGTGATCCCATAAAAACTTATATAATCACATAAAAACATAGGAATTACTTAGGAAATATCATTGGAAAATAAATATTTGCCAGATGAGAGAACCCAGCTGATTATAAATAGAATGATAAAGTCATGTAACAAGATTTCTCTAAATTATTGACCAAAGCCAACTGTGAATCTATCTACAGCCTCACCCATTTTCTACTCATTTCTTCCAGACTCAAAATAAAAGGTATCTTACTTCTATATTTTCATTTTTCATTATATGTTAGTGTATATTTAYACTTCAAGTCATTATAATATGAATTTTACACAAGTTACTTAAGTGATACAGTTCAACCTTAATGTCTSTTGTAAGCTCATAATTATCAAATTCAGAATATAGCAAGGTTCATAYCATATTAAATTTCTGCTAGTATTTGCTACTCTGGAAGCTCAAATTCACATTACAAATCCTGAAATTATCTGTAATTCCTTTTACCTGTGTGTACCGGTATGCCATGATGATTTTACTTCAAACTTGACCTAACTATATAGCTCTCCTTTCATTTACTTGTTCTTTCTACCTGCCTCCATCCTTCTGTCMACTTTCTTACTCTCTTGCCAGACTGCTTACTTCTCAATGTCAGCTCAAATTTGTTTTACAGACCAGGCTTTTAATGACACATYCATAGTTCTCCATGTTCTGTCTCCACCTGCTTTAGTATATGGTCCACTAAAACTACACATATTATATTCATATATATCCATCTTTCCCATAAATAATAAGGGACKTCAGTGAAGGTGATTATTTTAAGTTGTTGAGATCAGTTCTAAACAACCTGATGAAACTGATACTACGGTAGGTCTGTTAGTATTACAAGTATAACATAGTGTGAAATATAGCCAAAATTTTGTATGTACCTATTGAATAAATTTATGAATGCAATATAAAACAATTTTGAAATGTCAGTAAACAATCTTAAGTTAAATTTCTAAAGTTTTAATAAGTTGGTACAAAAGACATGATAAAGGGTCAACATCAGGGGAAAGTGAGAGTAGAATTGTCTAGGAAAATTAGTGAAGTAATTTTAGGTGAGACAATGTTTAAATKAATTGTATAAGGAAGAAACAATCCACTGGCATTACATGTGTATAACTTCATAAAATTGCAAACAATGTTAAGATAACAGCACTTAGAAATATGATTTATTTGATACTCAGGTCTGCAACTGCAGGTCAGCTGTGACTCTGTTTCTTATGTCTACAATCTGGTGTCCAGGATTAAACCGTCCCTATTTAAGTCAWGTAGTTTCATGGCAGAAGAGAAGAGCAAGAGAGTCTGAAGAAAACATGAAGTGTCATGAAGTCTGAGTTAAGCCACTCTTCATGTTATACTTGCTTAACTGCCATTGGTCAGTCCAAGTCACACAATCAGGAGGAAACGCATGGAACTCCCATTAGAAGCAGTGTACTTACATGGCATTGGRCAGTGATATACAATCTTCTTCAAGGGACATGGAGAATTTTTGTGAAAAATTTTACATAGGAATTGAGGAATACAGTAAGAAAGTCATAGAGTCAAGACAAAAATAGGATCTACAACATTTAGTAATGTTAGTACTGCAGATGCTATGTAATATCTGTTGGATCTAGCAAGGATATCATTTAGCTAACTGCAGTTTACAAAAGATTCTGAATTAAAAAGATGGAACATGAGAGGAAAATGTGAAAAGGACAGACAAAGAAATTAAGAAAAGATCTTGCAGAGTCAAAATTTGACAAGGAAGCAGAGGATATAGTCACAGTTGTTTCGAGCATTTGGTCAAGAGGTCAATACACTTGAGGGGGAAGGAGAGTATTGGGAGTACCAGGATAATGCCAAATCTGTAAGGTAAAATTAGTATCAATTTAGTAGGAAAGCTTGGAATATGAATTGAGGGGAAAGTCACAGAACAAGAGTCAAATTTTATAGTTGAAGAAAGATAAACTAACACCAAAAATGTAGTACATTTTACTTATTTACATATTTTGTATCTAAAACTTTACACTGAAAAATCTTCAAGAGGTTTCATGAAAGAAAAATAAGGAAAAAATTCTRAGTAGCCCAATATTTAAAAGGAGTCACTAAGCAGGACAAGAGTCCCTTAGACTGGAATACAATAATTTTCCTGTGGAATCAAGAGGAAATGAAAGAGAAAAGCACAGTTGTCTTTCTGGCATTCATTAATGTGCCCTTGACAGGGTTCCAATGCATCACCCAGAGGGTATCATCAGCTAATGGTGAATTTTTTTTTTCTAATGGTAAATTTTGTGAATATTGTTTTGAAGAAAAGAGTTATAAGGATGCTATTGTATAATAGTTTTTGTCCAAGAGAAAATGTAACTAATTGGCACTGTTCCAGCAAAGAAGGTTAGATTAGAATCTGTGGTTGATTCTGTTAAAATCAGATGAAGAACTGCATTTGGAGGATCAGACGGACAGATAAAACATCACATTATCAATATGACTTTTTCAAGTGGCACAAGAAAAGGCATTCCAGCATTTATCTTATAGATTCTAAAGTACATATATACAAAATAYAGAATTAAATAGTCCAGTTTGAATACAGACCATGGTGGACTGGAAGATGTAAACATGGGTTATTCAGATGCACACTGGTACCCAGATGATCATTCCATGAAAATGAAAAAAATCACAAGTACACAACATTCATAGATTAAAGTAGGGAAACAGGTGAGAACACACAATAAATGTATTAAAGTTTTCTAGAAATCATAATATATGAAAGAACAATAAGGAATTAGTGCACTGCCTGCCATATGACATTTCTTTTTAAATATCATACTCAAATTAATGTTTCAGTAGAAAAATCTACACATACACAGTTACAAATACATTTGTGTATGTCATCACATATCATAATCCTTTTATGGTAAATACTTACAACATACKACTTCTTATGAACTTYACATATTTTTTWAAAAACTTCACATATATTAATTTATATTATAATCTTCAAGCTGACAAGAGAACACTGAGTACAAAGACTTACCCATCATGAAAGACACATAAGTTTCCTTTTAGGAACCAGAATATGCTGCATATTTGAATGGATAAGCTAAATAGCTACTGTATGTTATCTTTGTTTATTGTATATAATAAATGTATAAGAAATGTGTATAGAAAATATACATAGATAAAAATACAGATACAGACAGATGCATTCATTTTAAAACTTATCCTCTGTACACTGAAAATCTCCTCCTGCACCATAAGTAAAATTCTCCACTGACTATGACAACCTTAGTATTAGTGGACTCTGCATTCCTAAAAAGACCTCAGAAAAGCTAGATCTTCTCTAAACCCTGGTTTCATATGGCTAAAGTATAGGTTGTTCATGACAGAATATTTAAAGAAGGGGTCAACCACATAAGATTTTCTACACCTCAAAGTCATTTTGATTTTGTCTTAAAGGTATTATGAAGTACTGAAAAATTAATATGGTTGAAAGGAATAAAGTTAGAGAAGAATGCTCAAAGGAGAAGATAACTTCCTGATTTCATAAACTATCTATTAATGTCCATTAATATTGAAAAGTAACCTTATAAATTCAATTAAAGTCAAATAAGATAATATTAGCAATGAGCAATTCATCTAACYGCAAAGTAAAAGCTGATACTTTGTTTCATTTGACATTTTTTGAAACGCTACAAACATTGACAAAAAATAATTAAAGACTCTGAAAAGTGATCTCAGGGTGACAGCATTAAAAACTCAGAGACACGGATCTTAATACTTTTATATGATATAACAGATATTACCAGAGAGGTGGGGGGATTTCTTCTTGACATAGAAGATATTTACTAAGGGACAAGGTGGGTTTTGAGTTTAGTAAGTGTATTGTTAAAATGAACAACAGAATATGTACAAATTATTTACTGCTTACCATTAACAATAACGATGATATCACGGAAGTCAATTTCTCCCCTGGCTTCCACTCTTCCTTCACATCTATATATACCTTCATCACTTTTATTGATGTTGAGAATCTGCAGATTATTGTTAGCTAACATGGCAAAACGACCTGGAGAGTAAGCAAAGGGGAGGAAATGACATTAGTAATTGAAGGCTGAGTCCAGTGTGCTCAAAATTGCTAAGAGTTAAAATATGGCACTGGTCTGACACTATCAAACTTTTCATCAACAAACAAATTCAAATTTGAAAGTAAAATGTAATTTCATAACTTCAATTTTTCCACTCTACATGACTTGTTACACCTTTTTTTTTCCCCTGAAATACATTCAAGACTTTATATYCACATAAAATGGTCAGGTTATTATTTTCTCGGTGCTTTGAATGCAGAAATGACATAAAAAAAAGAAAAATGCAGGGAGATTAGATATTGCAGCCTTGAAAACTTTTGACTGCAAATATATAGCAACTTGTGTATAGAAAATGGTGGAAATTTTATTGAACATCCTTCCTCAACAATAATTAAACTAATAATTCTACATATCCTGAGGAGGCAGTTAAGTGATGTRATAATGTTCGAATCACATTAAGTATATGAAAATGCTTGTAACATATATTTATTTAAAGTATTTTTTAGGGAAACACAAGATAATCTTCTTTAGGAATTAATAGATTTGCTTTTATTAATTTTTTAAGATTCCATTTTATGTGTGTGCACATGTATATATACAAAAGTAATCTGACATACAGCATGCACTAACTGATAGCTTAGAATAACATTTTATAGCAATCTGAGATGCCAAACAGCATCTTAGCTTGACATTATTTTCTAAGTCTAATCTCATTTATAATCATCACAATTTTGTTGCAGTGTTAAAACCTATCCCTTCTTATCGTGTAAAGAATTTTCTTACATCTAGTCATTTTAAAGCACATTGTACAGGAACTATCATAAATTTTAATTAATGCATCCCTATTTATTGTTAAACTCCTTTTTTTTTTTTGGCCTGGATATAGTAGCTATAGTATTAAAAATACATTGGTTACTGAGATTCAGTCTTTATCTACTTTGAACATTTTGGCCAAGTAGAATTGCCATTATTTTAGGGTACCAGTACCTAGGATGTTTACAGTCTGGAGTTTGCTTTTGTAATGCTGTTCAATTTTACTGCTTTTCCTCTATCTGCTGGTATGATAGAGATTGATATGTTATGGTATGATAGGGACATCTCAAAACCCATTTGTGAAAAAGGTAGAGAGCTTCATCACCTGGATTGCTGACTGGATTCACTTTGTAGAATCTTTCTGCTACTCCTGTTGCCAACTGGACATGCTGTGAGTAAGAAATAGTCTGCTATGGTAGTAGGCCATTCAGATTTTGGGGTTAGTTTGCCAGAGCAATTCCTTGATAAGATGGGAGAAAGTTTAAGCTGGAAGTCACAGAGGGATTCATAAGGCAATAGACAGCCTTAAAGCAGGCAGAAAAGTGGTTAACTCTCTGATAGGGAGTGGAACTCTATAGATTCAGAGGCTGCCACAGAATGAAAATACTGATTACAAAGCCCAGACACATGACTTTCATCCCAGGATTTATAAGCTATTCCCTAATGTCTATTTCTTCTTTAGGTTGACCCTAAGAAGAGAGATAAAAAGGTTTATGTAAACTTTTCCCTGATAAATAAATCACAGACTTGAACTTTTGTCACCACAGGAAAGACTGGGAAGTAAGAAAGGTAATCTGTTAGAAGTTTCAAAGTTTAACACATGAGAAGTTCTGGAGTAACTCAGAATTCATAAAATTTATGAAATTTCAAAAATAATTAAACATTTTTCTRTCAAATTTTGTGGTTGGAAGTTAGAAAAATATATTTTAATAATGTTCAGAATTAGGAAGGATGTTCTTAATCATACATAGATCATTGTAATATTATATTTTAACTTGCTAAAATAAGTMTCATCTTTTACCTCTATCCTCTCTAGTTATTATGTGTTATTTGAATTAAGAAAAAAGAGTAAGGGTGAGTATTATTTTAATAAGGAAGGCAGTGTTTATATAAAAAAGAATTAGAATCACATAGYACTCATATTTAATGGCAAAAATGTTTCTTCTAATTGGAAAATTTTAGTCCCAAATGGCCTTTTTAATCCATTACTTTTACTAACTCTAAAAACTTTAGGAAAACAATAATTACCTGGTAAAGCTAAACACTATTATACATGCTTATGTCTACAAATTTTTTTTCAACACTGAAAAAAAGTTATGTGAAGATTGTGTCAAATCCCAAATATATTTCCAAAGCCTCATGATGGTTCTTAGTAAACTAGAGAAACAGTGCATTACTGTTATGTGTTTCCAGAAGATATCTAAAGAAAGCAATGCTTCAGTCACCCCCCTAACTATAGGTTTTAGAAATATTTCACTATTACCAATTATGTTTTTATCAGTTACATAGAAACTCAATTATCAATGTGAGAAAGATAAATTGAATAAAATTGATAAATAGAATAAATTGCTTTATACTTCTTTAAACAAGTTATTTCTAAAGCCTTTCTTTCTTRCTAAATCTTATTCTATACCTACTCAATGGTTTGTCTCATCTATCCTTATGACCAATCATCAYATATATTTTAATGACTTACAGATTTTCTTCAGATTAAAATGTTTCCGTCTTCCATAACTATCTTTTTTTTTTTGGGGGGGGGATTGTTCGTGAAATTAAGCCCAGGGGTGATTAGCAAACTGAGCCACATCCCCAACACTTTTTATCTTTTATTTTGAGAAAGGGTGGGTCTCACTAAACTGCATAGGGCCTTTCTAAGCTGCTGAAGCTGACCTCAAACTTGTGATCCTCCTGTCTCAGCCTCCCCAGCTGCTAGGATTACAGGCCTTTACAACCTCTATCCATCCAGATGTACTACTTAGAATGGTTATAAGTACAACAATCAGCATATCTGACATTTAGCTTAGCATCTGTGCCTGCTTTTCTATGTCTTCACATGTCTTTACAATTCCTTTATAGGAAACTAGTTGCTCAAGATAAATTCCATAAGTTATAGAACACTTTGTTCAAGGCAAATTCCAAGTTATCCTTGACATATCCTTAACTCTGCATAATCAAAAATATTCTATATCCTATTATTTATGTCTTTAGTCCAAAATCTTGCTTTCACTTGGCAATTATTTCATTTAATTCTGAGCTGATCTCAGGGCCTGGAATTTTTTCCTTGAATCCCATCCAACTGAAACACTAATATCCTTTTCAAATACACATTAGATCATGTCATTGCCTTCATTAAAACACTTCAGTTATTTCCCCTTTGAATAAATTCCAAACTCTTTAGCAGTGATGTCAAAACCATATTGACCAGACTTGGCAGTCCTCTCTACCTTTTTTTCTTATTAGTCCTTGATTAACAAATACTGGTTTTAATTATCTACTTGTGCAAATATTCAACTTGTACTTTTTCAAAAGTTCTAGTTATAATAAACTATACCAGTGTCTGAAGTATGTCATCAATGTTGCTTTCACCTCTAGGCTATTGCACATGGTGTTCTCTGTTCATTAAATTCTCATCACCTAAGTGCTATTTATATTTAAAGGTAAATATTTTTCTCCCTGCAAGCATCTTTGACATCTTTCTTTTCCCTAACTCTTTCAGTGTTCTTTTTTTTCTCTGTTACCACTTTCCTTCCCATAGACACAATATACTATTTTTCACTGATTTATCTATTTACCCCTTTAAAGACTATTAGTGCTTTGAAGGGAGTAAACATTTTTTATCTTGTTTACTATGAATCAATGCATCTAGAACTCAAGCAGGAATACACAGGGTAATCCATAACTGTTAAATGAATCTTTTATACCAGAAGTAGATTAATATTTTAATGAAGAATATGAGTCTATTAATTATTTGTGATACAGAAAGAATACTTTAACCAAAGACTTTTCAAAGTTTATAAGATCATTTTCACACTGACCTGTGTTCAATWAGCATATGTATCTCTCTCCTTCTGGGTGACAATAAAAGTCAGGTTATTCAACTTTTATAACAAAATGTCACTCTTTTTTCTTACTTGCTTTTCTTCTTTAGCATRTATATCTCCCTTCAATGAGTAACATGGACAAACTCCATTCAAATTATTCTGCAAAGTCCTGATTCGGATTATCTACCACATAGCTACTATAAAAGCATGAGGGATAAATTGAACATTTCCCAACTATTTAGTGTCTGATCTCCTACATATAAACTTTAYTCTCTATCACATTAAAGATATGGAAAGGAAAGTATTTTAAAAAATACACATTTTTTTAAATCTAGATAAATTATGTTCAGTGTTATAAACCTAATCATATCCCAGTAGCTATAAAATGAAAGAGACTAAATAAGGTAGTTTTAGTCACTTTTTTGCTACTGTGACCAATGATTTGACAAGAACAATTTTAGTGRAGGAAACATTTATCTGGGGGCTCATGGTTTCAGAGGTCTTAGTCCACAGATGTCCAGCTCCATTGCCTTGGGTCCAAAGTATGACAGAGCACCATGGTAGAAGACAGTAGAGGGGGAAAGATGCTCAGGAAATAGCACCAGGAAGCAAAGAGAGTTTCCCCTCACCATGGACAAAATACATAACCCAAAGAACACACCCCACCTGCCTACAGTTACCAATTAGTTAATCCCTAACAGTGGATTAATTAACTGATTGGTTAAGGCTCTTCTAACCCAATMATTTCTCCTCTGAACCTTCTTGTATATTCACACACGTGATCTTTTGGGGGACACCTTACATCCAAACCATCAYGGACTCTCATAACTCAATCATTCCACTTCTAAATCTTCTTGAATTGTCTCACACATGAGCTTCTGRGGGATACCTCATAGGTAAACCATAACAGATACCTCTTRTGAAACCATGATAAATGTACAAATTGTTCAGCAATGAAGTATATGTCAAGATCTTTCATTGTAACAAGGTTAGAAAAGTTTGGCCTTCCTCATACGTTTACTTTCTTTAGTTGCCTGCTATGCACCTTAGCTCATTCATATTTAACTTTAGTCACTCCCCTAAATTGAACTTTCTATTTCAAGTTATAGTCTAATGGCATATAATTTGGGCAAAATTGATTCTAAAAATTGAAAAACTCATTAAGAAGGAATAAGAAAGATAAATAGATAAATTTCATATATTGAGAGACTGGCATCTACCTCAATAGTTTATTCATTTCAATATGACTAATAYGTTATTTATAAATTACAATGATTGTTTGAAACAGATATAATACTCCATTTTTGAAAGATGAAGAATGTGATTTCAGAGCACAACAGCTAGAAAAACTTTTCATTATTTCAGGGCCAAGAAAAATAGTAGAACCAAAATGAACTTCCAAGTTTACATCATTCAATTTTGGATTACTGGGAAATAATTATCTGTTCAATCATAGAAATATTACACCTCCATCACCACTACACTTTGTTATTCATCTTTGTTTTGATGTTTTGTTTCAAGTGTCTTCTTTAAAAATATAATTTTTAAAARAACCTTCTTGTAATTAAAATGTGTAATAAACCAGATGTATATATGAGCAATATTAGATAATGTGAAAATATTTAGATATTATCATTTAGCTATAATAAAATTACTTCCTTTTCTGTATGATTGAGAGGCAGAAAAAAACAAAAATATATCACACACAAGTACTCATATAATTTGTTAATAAAATCTAAAGCAGTTACTCAAATAAAATATGAGATAATTAAGTAGTATTCCTCATTAGCTTATTGTATTAGAAACAATGAGTTTTCATTAATAACTGACTAGTATTGAYCATATCAAGGTCTGAAAAATTAAATTTAAAAAAACTGACTATTGTATATGATTATGATATGTTCTATTTACATATTCAAAAATAGAAATTGTCTACCTTCTGTCTTTTATGCTATAGAAATTTCATCTCTTGGAAACACAAAACAGAATCATGCAAGATGAAAAATACTTAAAAAGATTCAATTATTTTGTTCCTCTCTGCAATGCAGGTGCGTTGAAAAATATTCTAAATTGAAAATGCTCCCTATGCACAATGATAAAGGAGCATAATGTAAGCAAATTATGCTTTCAATTACAGATGTCATATCATTCTGGAATTTTAGCTCAATCTGAATCAAAATCATGAAGACAATTTGAGTGAATTTACACTTCTTTCTATTATTCTATATGTCTTATCATAGTATTCAGAACTTTTAWGTGTCTTTTAAAGAACAGCTCCAGAATAATAAGCAGAATTCACATATAAATTATTATCAGTTTTCTTTGTTTGTTACCAGGGATTGAATTCAGGGGTGCTTATCAACCAAGCCACATCCTGAGCTCTTTTTATCTTTTATTTAGACAAAGTCTCAATGGGCTGTTTAGGGTCTCACTGCTGAAGCTGGCTTTGAACATGTGATCTTCCCGTCTCAGCCTCCTAAATTATTTTAATTTGTTTTGAATTATAAAAAGTTGAATTTATGAATTAGTATCTGTTCKTCATTCATTTCTTAAAAATACATTAAATTTTCCCTGAAAGTAGAAAAAGTGTAAACAAACTTTTTGTTTCATATAGTAACTGCAGAAAGCTTCCTAAGATAAACTAGTTGCCAGACATATTCAACTCTGGGATCAAAGCATCCATAGCAATATGTAATTGTTGGTCATGACTATGTTCCTATAACATGTTATAGAAACAAAAGAAGTATTAAATTTGACCTAAGGTTCATAGTGACCCAAATTACAGTGTATAATTTTAAGGTTTTAAAARGAGTTGTTTGACATTTAGGGTCAAAAAATACATTTTTAAAATCAGCCACATATATTCAGTAATTTTAAAAACTTGCAATGGTTTTAGAACATATAACTTAGGGAGTTACCAAAATACTAACTGTCGGAAATTGCGGTGACTTCCTCATTATGATACAACCAGGTGATGGCAGGTGCAGGTGAACTGCTAACACGGCAAATGACCTCTGCATCTTCTCCTTGTTTGAATTCTTGAGGWGAAACCACTTCTCTGAAAGTGAGTTTTTCTGAATCAAGAAAATAACACAGATCATAAAAGAATTATCACTTATTTATCCTAAAAAAACATATTCTAAAATAGATGTTAATTGATGCTATGTTGTATGATCCTAGATAAACCTAGGTCTTTTAAAACATCAAGCCAAACTAACAGATTCCTTTCCTAGTAACCTTCCATCTCACTGAGAATTCCAAAGTCCTCTCAGTGCCATAGAAGGTCCTATGTGATCTACAGTCCAATCTACAACTCTGATCCTAATTTCTCCTCTTTCCAGTATTGTGCTCCAGTAACAGTGTCTTCCTTTAACATTCCAGGTTAGCTTTTGAACAGGGCATTTGCCCTCCCCCCAATTCATTAAGAATTCTGACCAAACTCGTTAGTAAAAACAATAGACCTTCCCAYATAAACTTTTGCCATCTCTGCCTAATTTATTTTCTATAAAATTGTATAGCAGGTAAATACACCACCTGCAATTTTTAGATGATTTATTATGTAAATAATAGAATTGACTTAGAACAGTACTGGGTAGACTTCAATAAATATGTTTAATGAAAGAATTAAGAAGAATATTTGTGGTTATAGAAGATGATTTTTTACAAAAGCAATGTTTTTTTTTTTTTTTAAAACATCACAATTGAGTTTTTTACATTCACAATAAAACACTAGGGATCTTCTAGTGTATCATTTAAAATAGTAAAATGATCACTCAATTTCATTGTTTGCTGTGTATTAAATAGTTACCAATAGTGCATCACATAAATAAGGAAGATAACTTTTCTGGAAATGCGTAATGCAAAGGGGGGCAGGGAGCTAAATCAGGATAAATGAAACCAATAATGTATTAACAAATTTCCCTGGTTACCAAACCAGAAGTCTTACTATGGGAATGATCTGATATTCTTTTACATTTCCTATTTCTAGAATAACAATAATTTAAGTTGGTATAAAGAAGTGAGAGCTTACATAAATTTTTACTCAAAATATTTATATAAGTTTTCACTGGTAAAAAATTCAGTGCCACACATTAATGGTGAAATTGTTCTAAATATTTCATGCAATATCAGTTAATGTAGTCCTCAGAACAACTCTGTGTATGATGTAGGTCCTATTACACATATTTATAGTAGAGGACACTGAAGGCAGAGAAGTTAGGCAATCTGTTCAAGGTCATAAAAGTACTTGATAGAGCTGGTTTCAAATTTAGGGAGTTAACAGGCTTCACAGTGAACCTTAACAGTTTAATGATTTCTAAATATATACAAGAAAAAGGGACAGGACACAATCTATCTTAAGTGTAAAATGAAGTGTAAATACGGAAAATCCTGTTAATGAAAACATCTATTATTCAAGAGTCCTGACAACATATTATTTTCTTCTAGTTGAGTTGTCAGCTCTATCTCTGTCTACTTCTGTTCATTGACTGTCATCCCAGTTCTCACTCTAGAATGGTCAGTGCTATAACTTTCTGCAATGTCCYTGGTTCTAATTGTGACCTTTATTTTAAACTGAAAATTTACAACAAATATATTTCATAACACCAACTAACCACTGTATTTTATTTACCCAATTATTTTCTAGTGTACTGAGATTGTTGAAGCACATTTTAAAATATGATTTAACTAAGATAATTGGAAGCACATTTTAAAATATGATTTAACTAAGATAATTGGCTCCATTTATGTTTATAACTACCTATGAGCCATTATCAATTCTAAGATGCACTAAAGTAAAACACAAATAAGCTGATGTCTACATAGGTTGTAAAACATTGCATAGAATATAGGTTGTTCTTGAGTGTTGGTTTGTATTACTAACATTTTATTTTGCTTGAATTCTTTATAAGTTTTCTATCAACTTAAACTTACAAATACATGACTTACGGTAAATTTCCAAAACTACCGTAGCTTCCTGTGTCTGTCCTTTGGCATCTGCTGCTTGACAGCGATATATCCCTGCATCTTCTATGTTAGCGTTGTAGATGGTTAATCTTGACCTAACGCCTTCTTTCTGCACCACTACCCTCTGGGTTGAAATTATCTTCTCTCCTTGAGGATTATACCAATCTATACTCTCAGGTTCACCAATTGCTGCAAAAAGCCAAGGAGAAGAAGCATTTAGAAATATGTTTTAAATGTTTGTTTTGGCAGTGGCATTTACTATTCTGCATCAGTTTTAACAATTTAGAGAAATGTAAATAGAAAACTGGAAATCTGAGTATTGTACAAAATTGAAAGTAAACACAAATGTTAACACACATGTTCGTTTTTGTTTCTTCAAATTAAAGACTAAATCCTGTTCCAGTAAGAAAAATCTAAAAGTTATGTAGGAAATTTACTATGTAGTATTGAAGCAACGAGATTTGAAATTTTACATTAATGATCTATGGATTATCACTGCACTTAAATATGAAAATTTTATAAGCAAGACATAAACTCCATGTGATAGATAATATTTGATYAGAAATATGAATACTAATAAGATTTTCACATGCTTGACTCTTTTTGCTTAGGGACAGGGGATAGCACTATTTTTCCTGATAAAGCACAAATTAGGAAAATGTAAGTAATTTACAAAACAAATTTTTACCATTGACAATTCTTAATTTGAATAAATTTCTCAAGTTGTTAAACTCATWCAGATAAGGCAAATAAACATTTTAAAAACGAAGCCCTTATATCTTTCCCCAACTGATATGAGTAGTTTTATCATTTTAATCTGAAATTATTAACTATTAAATTATGATAATTAGAATGTATTGAAGTGATACTTATCCTGCTAGGCAATTACAACCAAATCATTAGTGTGTAAATATTTATTTAAGTTTTCCAATTCAGAATCTAGGTTACTAACCACTTTKTAATATCTAGAAATACCTGCATTTTTTTTAGTCACCAAAAGGATGTATTTCACTCAATTACATAAGAAATAATTTGGGGAAGCAACATACTTTATTAACTCAAAAGTATTGGGAGAAAATGAGTGTAGCTAACTAATATCTTCACGACCTCTTCAAACAAGAAAATTTTTCTTTTTTTTTCTTCCTAAGAAATGATTTTTAAAAAATAGCATCTTTTTTTTTAAAATTACAAACTAGATAGGATTTAGTAAAATTTTGAAAATTTAGGTAGAATTTCAAATGGATCAGAGTTTTATTATCTTCACTTTTTATGAATGGAAATACAAATCAAAATAGTTATAGAATAATGAATTTAGGGGTTAATATTTCTTTTCATTCCTTCTTTCATAAAGAATCTAAAATGTAGCCAGGTGCAGTGGTGCACGCCTGTAATCCAAGTGGTCTGGAGGCWGAGGCAGGAGGATCAGGAGTTCAAAGCCAGTCTCAGCAAAAATGAGGTTCAGTGAGATCCTGTCTCTAAATGAAATACAAAACAGGGCTGGGGATGGGCCTCAGTGTTCAAGTGCCCCTGAGTTCAATCCTTGGTATCTGCCCCCACCAAAAAAAGCTAAAAAGGATAATTAAAATGAGCATCACTTTAATTTTAAACAATATACAACTTCATTTTTATACTGTAAATTCAACATTAAACATGATCTKCTGAGAAATATTTGAATCTTTCAAAATAATATGGTATAAAATCTCATTATCAGGGGAAGTTTATTATGGATTTTCAGAGGGTAGTCATTAATCTCTTACAAAATCTCTAATACATATTAGTTTTGACCAAAATTTTCTATATTTATAAGAATGGCCTATTAGACAAACTATTAACAAATATAACAAAATGGTTTTGTAGTTTTGAACATGTAGTGATACTATTAATTTTCTGTACAAGACACATTCTATTTAGATCACAGTATATGTCTACCTTCTAGGTTAAATTTAAGATATAAATATTTTATTGGGTTTGAAACATTCATGTTTTTTAAGGTGCCTGGGAAGTTTATTGGCATCTACATAGAAAAAAAATATGTAAGTATTCTGGCATACATCATTTTCCATATCACTTTTTGAGATTCTTGTTTTATTACTAAAATTAATTTAAATAAAACCACTTCCATGATTATGGGACCACTCTTGGTAATATACCTTTATGTAAAAGAAAAAAAGATATTCACTTAGTTTGGCTTCATAATAAGAAACTCAATACCACTGAGTAGTATTAATTAATATTTTAATTTAAGTCATCATTTTATCTTATWTTATACATAGTCAATTATGTTACATGGTGATGACAGAATATAAAATAATAAAATTTTACTTTATTTTCATCATTCTTTTTTTTAACTATTGTATTATTCTGTTACTATATCATACAATTTAGTATGCATGCATCTGTTTATAGCTATGTACACAAAACAGAATGAGCTGTAGAAACAGGGACCTTATGTACACTTATGTCAAAGTTCTTTTGACACTATTTGCACTGGACAAATTATTGCCCTACTCTTTGATTTTTTTCATTAGTCAATAAACAAAATATGTATTAAAAACATATCAATTTAGACTCCTTGGCATGTAGATATATGAACATACATAGGTTCTATTAGTTTTAGTAAGTCGTGGCAATTTATACACACCGGGTTTAGATATGCTTTATGAATGCTATTTTCATTATGTTTTTACTTTTCATAAATTTAATAATAATTTAAGCATGTCCACAGTTCTCAAGCTAACTTTTCAATGYTTTTTAAATCAAGAATACATACTGTAATCCTGTTGTGACTTGCTTTTGGAACAATCACAAACAGAAACAATTCTAAAACAGTCTTATAAGCAATTTTGACATTACATGAATAGTCAATACTTCATGCTTGTGTACATAAATATGTATATGATAAATCTAAATAGATAAGGAATGTGTGCTTTTGAGAGTTCTATTTTATGTTGAATTAGAATTTGATGTTCAAGTACTTAAATATCTTTTGAAAGAATTCTGAAATCTTCATGATTAAACTGAATGAGGCTTATATTATTTTCTATAGGCATTGTAATACATAATATATTTGTTTAATAGCTACAAAAATCTTTCAGAACTTTTCCTAATTCACTATTTGATATTGAAATAAATATTCACCCTTTAAAAGGTTATTTTTTTCTGAATCATATAATTTTCATTAATGTGAAAGTATAATTCATTATGCTTTTATCTGATTTATTTATTGCTTATTTACAAAAATGAATCAATTATATTTTTGTACTAATCCTTATATTTCTGTTTATTCTACTTAAATTGAAATTTTATGGAAACATTTTATCTCATAAGTTTTTTTAAATGATATAGTTTTAATGTCAAAATTAATAAGCTGAAAATAACAAATAAAATCATTATTTTTAATATTTTCAAAATGTGATTATTATTATTTTATCATAAACCCAATGATAAGGTGTCACTTTTGAGAATTAAGGTTTTCATATTTAAATTTGGCTAATAAATATATTTATACTAATAGTTAAAGCACAAAACATGTTATCTGAAATTATTTAAAGGAATACATACCTGTACATGTGAAGAATTTAGATTCGCCCACACTAAGCTCTACTTTGCTAAGTGAAATTGTCACTTGAAGAAGAGCTGAAAAACATATTTGAGTAACAATTAATAGTGGTTTWAAATATTAATTCTAACAAATGATGTGCAAACCGCAGGTCCAAAAATARTGATCATTTCCCTTAAGTTTTTATTCCAGAAAATGGGAAATGAAAATTGTGGAAAATATAATCTAATGCCAGACTATATGTTACATTATTATGTATTTCATACCATAGCAAATGTGGTATTTATKCAACTTAATATATCAAAATTCTGTTAAATAAAGAACCTAATTCATATCCATAAAGCTATTTGTCTTTGACAAACTAGCTATAAAGAACTAGAGTGCGTGATAACTAAAGAAAATTTTGCCCAATAATTAAACCATTTTAGGAAAGAGCAAATCCTATATTATTATTACAGTATTAACCAATATAAAAACTAACTACATTTTGACTATCTAGCAAAATATTTCCATGAGAAGAGGCATGCACAGGAAAGGAAGCACTGCACAAGAAAACATAGATGAGCATCTGTATTCACAAGATAAATAGGAACTGAGGTAASAGCAATAAAACAGAGAGGATACTCAGAATATTAAATATAAAATAACTGGATATTCTAGAAATTTATACAATAATCAAAATTTTGTTTTCATACAAAATGATAGATCTATTGCTGATGATATGACAGACAAGAAGTGTGTTCACTCTCCAGACTCAGCCTCACCATCCCTTTTACTCAGAATGAGCTTTTAGTAATGCAATGGATGTGCAGAAAATAAATGGAGAAAAATATGAGCTAGAGTACAATCCTATTTGGGAATTAGCAGATCCAATAACCAAAGACTTATTAAGCTCATCACAGAATGCAAAGATACAGAACCTGGGCTTGTCCAGTATAATGAGGTACTTCAGAAAAGCAGATGATGAAGGGCTGTGATAAAATCTACACTCAATATTCAKAGAGAAGAGAACCAGTCACTCTGCTGACAAAGACAGCTGACAAGGAGACTTGTCTTCATTGACCTGGGTAGGAAGAAGCCATCGCCTCTTAGATTAGTCACAATTCTGTCCTTATCCTGGTTTAGGATTTTAATTGCAAACATATTCTCTAGAAAACCCCCACCAAAGAAGCTAAACAAGAATGCAGTCTCTTGTGAGGCTCAAAGCAACGTCTGTAAACATAAATTGATTTGAAGAAAACAATATTATCAACCCAGATTGCCCAATAATTTTATAGACAAAGTTTTCTTTAAACTCACATTCTGATATGAAATGCAAATGATCAAAGAAGGCACTGTAAGCAAGACTACATTGAAACAATTAGTAGGTAAAACAGACCCCTTGAAAATTTCAAAGGATATAAAACTTAGACAAGAAATCTAACATACTATGTTAAAATGCTTAAGGAAACAAACACAGAATCAAAAACATTTTAAATACTAGAAGAAAGTACTTTGAATATTTTCATCATGAAGAAATGAGGACTGTTTGAGGAGACAGGAAAGTTAAATGTAATCTAAATATTACACAATGTATACATGTATGGAAATATCACATGGAACAACACAGATACATAAAATTTTGTTTTTCCATATCAGTTAAAATAGATTTAATTTTAAAGAAAAGTACAAAATACTTTTCAAGAAAGGCCTTGACTTGTATCTTGTTTTAGGTMWTTAAGATGTTTTCTAAAATAAAATAAAATGTTCCTTCATACACACCAACTTCCGTTGTTAAATTCCTTTTCCTTTTTCTAGAAACATTTCTGGGAAATTAAGGCTGGGGTGAATTGGCTTTTTCCTCCCCTCTGAACCTTGAGTTCATTTTTATTCATAATTACATAATGCTCAGAGAAAGCTGGGTGCATCTTAGGGGCTCAACCAGTGTTCAAGTAAATTCAGTATTTCAGAGAGAAACAGACCAAGAGAAGCCTACRTCAGAGAGACTACAAAGGAAACTAGTAGAAACAAGGAAAAAGGATGCCTATAAAGCCATTAACAATGCATACTCCATTGAAAATTCATGAAACAATATTTTTCCTCAAAAATGTAGCTATTCTCTTTGATGAAGTTGGATTAAGTGGAATGGGCATCAGCAGTAGCAAATGTCAGAACACAAGAAACTAGAGAATGTCTTCATGAGTAACTTTGTCTTGAGAAGATGGGTAGAGTTATTTGGATCCACAATCTGGACATTTGACAGGAATTTAATATATTGGAGAAGACTTGAGCAAGTCAATGGATAGAAGGGAAGGAAGGAAGGAAAGTGTTGAAAGGAAAGGGGAAATTATAATTTCGTGCCTCATTCTCTTTATTTTTTCTACTTATACTTTCTACTATAGACATCTTTTATAATGTGCCATCAACATTTTTATTTTTCAGTATTCATTTTTTTTTTTTACTGAAATCTAATGCTGCACTCTCCAGCCCTCAGCTTTCAGTTGAATGTGTACTAATTCTATTCAATCTGAACACATTCTGCTTCATCCAAACTTTGGTCACTGCTCATTATTTCCTTTTTGGTCCACTGAATCAATTTCCAACTCTTGAAGATAGGAACTCTGTAAATATCAMTTGTTTTTTTATACTTTTCTTTTTTTTTTCCTTTAAAGAAATATGTTCAATGATTTTAATTCAAAATATTTCATCAGTCACCATATTTTTTTCTGACTTTTATCTAAATAACCTTTCTCTTTAAAAAAGTTTCCTGGCTGATACATGCTCATATTTCTTGTTACAAGTACTCTTACTGAAAACCTTCAAAGTGGATTTAYGTCATCCAATGAATCAATTATTATTCAAATTTTAATTGATAAAAACTTACCTTTTTTCCAGTTTATTTCCAGTTACTTCTCTCCAATTTTTCTGTAGCTATAGACACTAGGATTGATTCTCACCCTCTCTCCACTGACTCACAGTTCCTATCACTTCGCATTGGCTCAAATGGTTTTTCTTGCCTTTGTCTCCCTTTTTCACATGTCCACATGGCTAGCTATCTCCTATCTTCAAARTAAAACTAAAACATCAATAACGTTTCAAAACAGCTCTGACAGACCCGTCAGTGGCATCAACAAATATCTTTGATCAATAAGAATTTTTCCTAAACAAATGAGACATTATTGATAATCATATTCCCTTCTCTACCTTCTCTACCTCATTTAAATATAAATTATAGATGCCAGGGCTCATCAATTACACTTTTGTTTCTTCTAAATATAATACAGAGATAAGAGAACAATGGACAAATACATACTATTAGCTTACTATGTGATATGTTCACAACATTGTCAGTGACTTCAAGGCAAATTAATTTAAGGCTATTAGAAAATTTGATCAAATCTGCCAATTATTACTTAAGCAATTTCTATCTCTGACCTTTAGGGTAAATTTGATTGTCTATGGAGATTTATAAAAAAAGACAGAACTTGAAAGATGTAAGCACTTTAAAACTCAAAAGTTCTAGACAATTTTAATACTCATTTCCTGATGGGTACAATAAATAWCATACATTCATTGTAATAAAATAAAATTGAGCATGAAATTAATTAGATAATTTATACTACAATACTTGGATAATTTTTCACTCAGTACAAATTATCAATTTTCCCATTAATCAAGACCATATTTTCAGAGACATTATGATAACTGAATACATTGTTATATTTTATTGCTATGTATGTATAAAACTATATAAAGAAAAAAATATCCAGTTTACTATATTTCCTGAAGGCCAGATTGCTCTACTTGACCTCTGCATCTGCAGACATATTAAAACATGTGGATCTCAGTTAAAACCTAGAGCATTAAAATGAGCGGTCATGCTCTGATCATTATTCTAATGATTTAACATCCAGAATKTCTTGTAATCAGTCTTGAGCTATGTCTGCTTACAAGAAATGTCAGAATAAAACTAGGCCATTTCCAAGTCAAAAAGATGTGATTGAACAAAGCTAGAAAGAAATGATACATTTGACATCTATCCATTTTATGTTTCCTCCATCTATAGCATTACAATTTAGATAAGAATAAATGAAGGAGATAATGCTATGTGGTCTTTATTTAAGTTAGAACAAACTATTAGGATAGTTGTTTGAAAAAAGTTATACTGATGGTAAAGTTTCTAATTTTGATATTGTACTCTGTATTTGACACTGATATAATACCTTTGACTACATGTATTTGACATAGATACAATGCCTTTGAAGAAAATTGTGAAGGATGTAATAATACATGAGCTGCATATAATTTCCATAAATGATTAAATGATTGWATTCATTCTTCTTTATAGCTGAGTAATATTCCATTGTTTATATTTACCACAGTCTCTTTTTCCATTCATCCATTGAAAGACAACTAGGTTGTTTCCATAGTTTGGCTATTGTGACACAGTTAAAAAATGCAGAGAAGTGGTGGTGCTTGCCTGCCTGAAATCTCCACTATTGTGGAGACAGGATGAGTGCAAGTTCAAGGGCAGTATCARTAACTTAGTGAGACCCTCAACAAGTTAGTAAGACCCTGTCTCAAAATTAAAAAAAAAAAAGAGGACCTGGTATGTAGCTCAGTGGTAGAACATTGTGGATTCAATACCAGGACCAAAAAAGTAAAAGGTGAAAACATAAAATCCTTCAATAAGAAATATATATGATCAGCAGATTCAAAAATATTTCCTTTCTATGTTCATATATGAATCTTGACCAGTTTAAGTCCACATCATGTACAACCACAGAAAGCAATCCTAATTAGGAAAAGTTACATTCCAGGAATGTATAATATGYCAAAATACACTCTACTGTCATGTATATCTAAAAAGAACAAATAAAAATTTTTAAAAGATTGCATTCATTATAAATCAATCAGTCATTTTTATCAGAGCTGGGGTTGAAAAATAATAAACAACAGTAAATATTTTCACAGAAGATTTGTATTTAAGGTAAGATGGAGATTTAATCCCAAAGATTGAAAATTGAAGCCTTGATTACTTGTGTTCTGTGAATGATTCTCAAAGAAGTGTATGTAATAACAATCTTAAGTGTAATCT